CCTCCAGGACCCCCCCAGACCACCCAGGACCCCCCCCAGACCCCCTATACCAGCAGTGCCGCTGTAGGCGCCGAGGTGGAGGCGGTAATGGTCCTCAGGGCCAGCGACGGCAAAATCACGGTAGTGGGCGAAGGCAGCATCTTGTGGGGTGCGGAGATCCACCCGCAGCTCCGTGGGGGTCCCCGCCGTCAGCGCGTGCAGCGCCTCATTGCCTGCACCCCCATACCTGCATTCGGCCACCGCCACCACCTGGACACCTGAGTCCCCCTCCCCAGATCCCTGGTCACCCATCCAAGCCCACCCAGATGCCTACGTCCTGTCCAAAGGCCCACCCAGGACCACTCGGACCCCTGGGTCCCCCCAGTCACCCACCCAGAAGCCTGGGTCCCCCCCAGACACCTGGGTTCTCCCTTTGGTCACCCATCCAAGCCCACCCAGATTCCTGGGTCAGCCCCCAAACTCCTGGGTCCCCATGCCTGGACGCCTGGGTCCTTCCCTGGGGCTCACCTGGCTGCCTGGGTCTCCTCCCCAGGGTCCACCCAGGACCACCCGAATGCCTGGGTCCCTCCCTGGTCACCCACCCAAGCCCACCCAGATGCCTAGGTCCCCTCCAAAGATCCACCCAGGACCACCCAGACACCTGGGTCCCACCCCTGTCACCCACCCAGATGCCTGGATCCCCACCCTGGACACCTGGGTTCCCCCTTCGGTCACCCACCCAAGCCCACCCAGATTCCTGGGTCCCCCCCCAAACTCCTGGGTGCCCCCCCCGGACACCTGGGACCCCTCAGTCGCGCTGCGGCCGCAGCTTCATCTCGGTGAAGGGGACGGAGAACTCGAAGCCTTTCCAGGGAAACCAGTTGATGCCCTGGGGAGAGCCGGGGGGGAGGGGGGTTGTCCATCAGGCCCTATAGGTACCCTACAGGCACCCTATAGACCCTATAGATCCCTATAGGGGCCCTAGAGAACACCCCCCCTCCCCTGCCCCAGGCCCTATCACTCCTATAAGGGCCCCATGGCCAGACAGAGGGGATCTGGGGCTAGGTTCTATAGGGTCTTGGGCCCTATGGAGCCTATAGGGCATGTGGCCATGTGCTCCGCATAGCCCCCCTAGGACCCTCATTGGGCCCCGGTCACCCATAGGGGTGCAGTGCTCACCCCTGCCCCAGGGTCCTCTTAGCACCCCTATGGTCCCCATAGGTACCCACTGCTGCTGTGGGCAGTGCCATAGGGATCCTGTGCTCCATAGTGCCCGTATAGATCCCTCCACAGAAGACCCTCCCCCATAGCCCCTACAGAACTTCCTGTAGTCACTGTAGCCGTGTTATAGGCCCCTCTATGACCTCCATAGGACCCCCCATGTCCCCTATAGATCCCCATATAGCCCCCCCCCATATGCCCCTATAGATCCCCCTGTGGGCCCCTA